AAAAAAGATTTTGTATTTCTATAAGTGGGGTAAAACTATGGAATAATTTAAGTGTGGACATAAAAAATGGTAATAGAATTGATGAGTTTAAACATAAATATAAAGGTATGTGTCAATCAAGATATATGCAAGAACAGGCTTAATGATTAATTAGATGGAACATTGTGGGTGTGGTGTATGAATGTTAACACTTTGTAATAATTCTTTAGTATGTTACTTGTGTGGTGTAGAAGAGAATTATTTATGTAGAGATACTGCTTGCAAACCAATGATGTAAGATGATGTCATGGGGTAGGACTGGATAAGTCTGACTTCTTCCTACTCCATTCAAGCATGTACTAGGTATAAGCAAATTGATATTGGATTAGCATTTGTTGGATATGTGTAAAATTATGTGTGTTGATATATCAACTGTCTTTACATGCTTGAAAGAATAAATCAATCAATCAGTGCTTTCACAGAGACTCATTATTCCTTGACAATGCACTGATTGTCTTTGCACATTAACTTAGACCACTCTGAGCAAATGGACCTCTCAAATCTAAATGATGTTTCCTTCCACAATGAATTCATTGCATTGTGTTTAGTGGGATTCCACCAGTTTACACACTTAATCTTTTAGAGAACTTGGGGAGTATGACTGCATCAAAAAAGTTGGTAAAGGCTTTTGTGACTCCCTTTTTGCACAGAAGAATAACAAATGAAATAAAATGGAATAAGGTATAAGATTAAAGAACTTCTGGTTCAGCTGCATCGGTTTTTATCATTTTTTAAACTGTCCATCATAGGAGGTGGTGACACGGTTTTAAATGCTTTACATTCTTATAAAAATGACAGATAACACGACAAAAACACTCACTGTTAATGAAATAATGGCCTAACTCTTTTTACAGAACAACTCATAAATGACACAATCAGGCATACTGCTGAAAACAAAATAAGTTCACGGCTTTCAGGGGCACGTTGTGGTTTGGAATAAAACTATTACAAAAACTGGCTGTTTTTCATTGGTAAATTTAGAGCAAAACAAATCCACTGAGTGTCCACTCTACAAAAGCAAAGAAAGCTCTGCCTGCCTGCCTGTTATTTCTGCCTGCTCTCACTACGGTCATTATTCTTCACTGAACTTTGCTATTCATTGGAGTGAGTTTGGTGCCACTGAAATACCGTCAAATACCTTGGCCTTGCAGATAATGCAGCATTTACTCGCTGTGACAATTAATTCTTCTGACATCTGAGCACATTAATATTCATTATCCACTGCCACTTGTGACAAACTGCCACCCCCGTGCACTGTAGATATGATAGTGAGGTGGTGTGGAAATGTGCTGGTGTGTGTTTCAGGCCACTGAAATGATTCATAGACAGTCAGTTTCGTTATGATGACTTGTTGTTTAAGATCTGTGAGGGCTCTGCCTGTGTATTATACTGTATGTTTACCATTTTCCAAGGCTGTATAGGGCCCATTACCCATAGGTTTCTACAGTGTCTGAACCTTTAAAACACCTTTTCTCATTACCCTTCTAGTTTTCATCATAAGAAAAAATTTATAAAAATGTAAACTACATAGACCTGTTTACAGCAACCTGTACAAGCTGCAGCCTCCAATCTGAAGTTAGCATTAGCAGTCCAGTAGAAGACTCTGGTTACTGCTAATGTCACACAAAGCACTAATGTTACACATAGCTCAAATTACCCCAAATTAAAACCATATTAATTCAGTACAAAGGTAAAATCGTGACAGTGCTAGATTGCTAATGTTACCAAAGCAAAAAAACTAAATTAGGTTAGCTTTAGGTGCTAACACATTCAGAAGGAAAAATGCCACTGAATTCAGTCTGAGTCCTTTTGCTGCTTTTAACCCGAATCCATGTCAAACAGCCAAACCAATGTTAACCCTGGTTCAGACTTTTAGCTGCTGAGAGCCCATCCATGGCTGGCTATTTGAAATGATTACTCACGGGTATAACCTTTGCTAGGTGGCAGGATGGGCTAATTTATAGAGTGTACTTTGACAACACAACACAAGGGTTGTGGGCAGTAGAGTATTACAAGGGTGGGGGGTTAGGTATATAGCTGAGAGACACCACTTCCTGTCCCATTTTCACTGGCTTTATCAGACAATGTATTAAATCTCAGTTAATGCACCTTTAAAGCCAAACATCTGCACTTAAGGAATTTCCTCCTGGGGATTAATAAAACTATCTAAAAATATATACATGAAATTTAAATAGTTATATAAGATGAGGAATGAAGATCAACAGTGTTTTAAAAAACAGTTAAGTGCCCATAAACAGCACTTATATAATGTGAAAAAAGGCTCAGTGCATTATATAGCTTAGACTAATTCAATTTAAAAATGGCATAAACTATCGTCCTTTGTAAAGGGCCAAGTTTTAAATTTACTGGAGTTGTAATTTGAGAAATGCATCAAAGATCACCACTGGTCTTAGAAAACTGGAAAGATGGCAACCGCAGTTTTCATTACATCACCCAAAAACTAAAATCTCTCTTACGGTAAATGTCAACAAACATGGATCAGCTCAGTGGAGCCTTGAGTGCAAGTCTGATATTTGTATACCAGATTTATAATTCTGTGGGATGC